AACACCATAGTTGTGTAATTTGCAATATTTCAGGCTTTTTGAATAAAACGTCGTATACAGGATGCTGTCTATTTATCGTAGCCCCATTTTAAAAAAATGGGTAAAAAAAACTTCACTTAGATGGCTATGACTCCAAATCTAGATGTATTTTTCAATACTGAACAACTTTTCCGAATAACATTTCCTGAGATATTTCAAAATAAGGGTACTTTATTCTTGTCTCAAAATCAAATGTTTGAAGGTTCCCCGTATGTTACGTGTGTTTTACTGTATTTTGTTGGTGCATGTTTAGTTTTAGAAGATGCACAAACTTTTATCGGGAATAACTTTTTGTCGAAAAACCCTTAATAAAGAAGTTTCCCATATGGTACATACTTTGGGGATGACACTGTATATTTTATTTTCAAAATCACAGCTGCCTTGGAAACCATTATTTTGGACTTTTAATTTCTTAAATAATCATTTGAATACCATAGTACTCACTTGTTAGGTATTATACTCCTGTTATCATAAGGTTTTTTGTGCCCAGTTGAGAATAATTCGCTCTGTACCATCTTGATCACTTGAATGACGAATAATCTAAGGTACGTGGTGTATTCTGGTGAGTACTTGAAGTTCCTTGTAGTTACCGGAGTTTCCTGTTCTGCTTCCTTTTTTTGTTCGGAGATTTTTCTCCAAACTGAAACCAAATTATACCATTATGTCAAGGTCGGATCAATGGGGGTATTTACCTCCCCGACATCAATATTCAATACATTCATTTCGACTGAGTTTTGTAATATATACACGCACATAATGTACCCCCCTCCTCCAAAACTCAAATACACTTCAATTCGTGATTTGTTCTTGAAAATTTTAATGTCAAGGTGAAAATTTGTTTCCTTATAACAATGATATTGAAAAAGTCTTCATTAATGCAAATCTACGCTTTAATTTGATAAACAAAAATTTGTCAACCAGTTTTCTACACTGAATTGGATTCTTTCTTAGGCTTTGTTAAGGCAACATCCTGTAGATGGTAAAGTTGTAGTGTTTTTCTGAAGAAAATATGTTGCTGATTGAAAATTATTCTGATGCAACAGACGAAGAGATTACATCAGAAATTATAATATTGTTATTTCCATGTGTGTTTCATAGAACTGGTTTTCAGTCTATTTCCGAATAAAAATATTCAAAGGATGTAACGGAATTTTTTCTCAGTATTTTGCCAACACGAAACATATATTAAAGATACGTGTGAAGAACACACAACATTGTACTGATGCATTCTTATTATTATCCCATGGCCTATCAGTTCCGTCTTACAGTAGGTACAAAGTATCACCTTTTATCCCTTTATACAAAAAGATAATTCAGTTCAATTATATGTGCTAACAAATTGTTGGTGTGAATACTAAATCTATATTTAAGGCGCCCCACAGGGGTCTATGTTTGGCCCAACATTCTGGAACATCGTTAATACTAAAACTAGATCTGAACGAATGCATAATGGCGGTAGCCTTAGCTATACACGATTGGCTCCTGAAAAATGAAGGCAGTACTGCTGAAATATATACTTTTGCTCAGGCTTTGAGTACAAAGCACTGACTTTCCTTTCTACTCCTCTCTAGCCGCCTTTGTTTAGTACCTATTTTCTTTCTCTAATTCTGAGTGATTGGAAACTGAAGTTCTATCAGCCTCCTAATTATTTATCATCATTATGACATTCATGCTATCAGTTTCTCATCTGAAAACTTGTACTATCCGTCTCATTCTTTTGGCTTTTACNTTAACCCTAAAAAATACCTCTCTATTGAATTTTCTTTAAATAATACAAAAACAAAGGAAAAATATACAAATTTGTCCACACTACGGCAAGTAAGTTTACAGAAGTAGGAGCAAAACGATGTGAAGTTCTGAAATCATATCACTGACGTGTATTGAATAAATGGCTATATAGATTATAATTGGCATAATTGATAACTGAAACACCTGCGGAAAAATTCAGTTTTAAAAGAAGGTGGACTAGGTGTTCCCCTGAACCTGATATTGACGTTATGAACATCCGTTCGAAAAGAAATGTTTCTATGAAGATAAGCATGCTTTCTGGTAAGAATCATTTTATGGAATAGGTTGGTGGCATGCAAGATTCTTCTGTTATTCATATTTAACCAATAGGCATCTTTGAGCTTATGAGAAATTCTCTGAGAACGTCTTATTCCTTAAATAAGTCTCAAGCACGAGTTTTGTACTTTTTGAGTTTATACTACTCACTCAAATGTGGTCTATAGACAGTATTAGCATAGTTTAAATGTATTAGTTTAAATGTGATAAAACTAGTGCTTCACATAATACTAATTTCAATTTTAGTGGAAGATACTGCCTAACTGCATATATCAATTTTAAAGAAGAATATGCACGTTGTATTAAGTTATTCAAATTCTTTTCGAATCTGAGATTGTAGTCAAGGATGACTCCAATATTTTTCGCTTCTTCCACTAACTCGATATTCACGCCATTGATTGATACGTTTAGGTACTCTAAAATATCAGATCGTTTGGACTTTGGTCCAAATAATAGAACATTTGATTTTTGAGAGTTTAGGAGTAAACAATGTTCTGTTGCAGCCCTATAAAAATCATCCAAGTCTTTATTAAGTATCATGCAAGAATCATTTACATCTAGAGGGGGGTCATCCGCATAAAAGTGCACCTTGCAGTGATTCAAATTTTTGATAAGATTGCAGGAGTAAAGAGCAAACAGGATCGGCCCAAGTATAGAGCCTTGTGGCACTCCGCGTTGAAGAGATAGGGGAGATGAAAAAGTTTCATCAAACGTAACTCTTTGACTTCTTCCATTAAGATAATTGGCAAGCAAGGTGATAGCTGAAGTTGACAGACCAACGTAATGTAAAATTGATATCAATAAATCGTGGTTTATAGTGTCAAAGACTCTGCTGAAGTCTACAATATGCAGCAATGGTGTAGTGCAACTGAATCCCTTCCTAAACCCAGACTGAACCGATGGTAAAATGTTGAGTTCTGAAATGTGCTCCAGGAGTTGTAATTCTATGGCTTTCTCTAGTATTTTAGATACAGCCGGAAGTACACTAATGGGTCGTAAGTCTTTAAACTCAGTGGGAATATTTTTTTGGTAACACTTTCACAACAGCACTGCTCCACATTTTAGAAAAAACATTTTCAATCAGGCAAAAGTTTCTTATGTGAGTAATGCACTCAACAATAGGTGGACAACATAGTTTTATAGGCTCTATATTCAGATTATCACAACCAGTTGCATTTGTTTTAATATCACTTATTGTTTGAAAAACAAAAAGATCACTCACTTCTTTAAAACAGAATTTTGAGGTAGTTGAACAGTTACTTTTGTAATATTCAAGTAAGTTTGGTGTAGGTTCCATTATTGGTATAGAATTAACAAAAAAATCATCAACACTTTTCAGATAATCTGGAATATTTTTCTCCTTATCTAAAATTATTTTATTTTGTTTCATGATACGGATAATAACCCTATTAGAAACATTCTACAGTGTCACCATTAAAGTGCACACCATATGGGAAACTTTTTTTTCGAAAAGTTTCAATGAAGTTTAACTTCGGCACTTGCTTGTGCTTTAAATTTAACTTAAAATGATGCGGCCAACTGCGACCCACTGACAAAGTCCTATAACGTTTCTAACATTCAGGATCAAAAATGGTGAAAAATGTTGCAGAAAACTGATACATTCAATACAGTATTTGAATGAAACTTACCCAAGAATGTTTTGTTGGTTTCTGGAGTTCAAAAGAAAATCTATAATTCTCATTGACACATAGATGAATGTAAAATAATAAAAAAAATTAAAGGCTTCGATGCACACAGATCTCTCTTCAGCTAGCAAGGCAAACTGGATCTCGACATCACGTACGCTCTTTTATTAAGAAACCTCTCATGACGTTGTTTAGAGATCGGAAAGTGTACCTCATTTCAATAATATTTTATTCATTTGTTGTTAATTTGCGACTGGTTTATACCGAAATAGTACAGTAAATTTAGGTTGGAAATTGGCGAATGGAGGAAGTTGTTGAACTGTTTTGACACGTCAACAACCTTTCTAACACGTTTTTGGGGATTCCTCCGAGAAAAAAAGTCATATTATGCTCGAACATTTCAGAACTTTCATACATAATATGAAACTTCACAATTATAACGCATAGGCGAACAACCCTGTATAGATTGCATCAACTCATTACACACATATTTTCTATATTTCACTATGAAAAACATGATTTTGATCACGACTTCCATGTGTGCTCAAAGAATAAATTATCGCCTGGCATTTGAAGGCTGAAAAGAAGTTAATATTGGAATATTTTAATCTTTTCTAGCAACTGATTCTGAAACGTTGGCACATATGATTTCTCTAAGCGCGTGTTTTTCCAATAACACATACTATTGGGGAAGTTAAATTAAATCATTTCCTCAAGTACAGAAGCGGATGTATATTAATTATTATGGCCATTATTCATAAGAATTAAGTTTTCGAGCCATTACCCACTCATTCGAGTTGAGTATTGGCCGTTTCTCGCGAGTAGAATACAATAGGGGAAGGTAGGGTAAAGTAGCCACCCTAAGCTTTGAACCCACGTCAACCATATAAATGTTAACCTTTTTACAGGTTGTTTGTACATTATTATGCATGTACTTATTAAATTTCAATATAATATTGTTTACAGACCAATATTCTGATAATTTTAACATAATTTTAGATTGAAGTCGAAATGGGAAATTGACCACTTTACCTATCCTGGTCGAGAAAAATGGCATATACAAATTTATAAACGGGTAAAGTGGCCTACTTCAAATAAAACATCGAAATTATGTTATTTTAACAAAGGTTTATTAAAATTTTGCATGGAAAAAAAATTCAACTCAAACAACAGTTTCATAACAGTTTTTAACTCAAAAAATTGTAATTCTACCTACATATTAATTCACAACAACAGTCTTTTATTTTTCTTAAACTAATTATACTTACGATTACTTATCATAAACAGTCTTCATTTACTTATTAACAGCCTTTTATATTAATTGCAAAAATCAAGTCTTAACTTGTTAGCTTCTTCTCAATTATTCATTAATAACAAATTAAATCAACTTTCAGTTACTAGTCTATGAAATATAAGTAACAACCTCTTCATTTGTATTTGTTCATTCATAATCGTAATAGAAAATATTCTTAGGAACAAAATTCACAATGAAAGTTATCATCGTTGTCATCACAACCCGAGCACGCTTCATGGGACCATCGCTTACAACTAGAACACTGTATCCAACCATCTTCATGTTTTGATTTAGACCAAATTTCGCCACAGTAAAAGCATCTGTGTCATCATCGTCTTCAGTATATTTGTTACTTAGTTTCAGTTGGGGATGGTTCAATAGTAGCTTTTATCACTCTCTTTGTAGCTTTCTTTTGTAGTAGTTTTTCTTCTTGCAACTCATTTTTATATTGGCTTTCACATGTTTAGTCTTAGGCAATGCTTTGGGAATCGGAAATAAGTTGCAAGGCGATATTGCGATATTGTTAGGAATCACACGGTAAAAGGTAAGACCTCGTTAGTCCTTAGCTCGCACAAGTTTATCAACTTATGAGCGTTGTCGTTCGTATGGGGGCGACAGCTCATTACCGGAAAAAGAGATTTTTTTAAAAGATGTGCTGGGTTGTGGGTACAAGTAAGGATCAAATATTGATGGAGTAACTGCAGCTGGTGTTATCTGGGTACTTATATTAACATCTCGATTCAATGTTAACCGGTTAATTGATGTTACACTTTCTAAACTTCTTGTTCGCGGTTCTGAGATTGGCGGAGGATCTGCTGGCACTTCCTCTGCTTGTGAATCTACTAAGATAGGTGGTGGTATCCCAGGCATATTGTAATAGAGATGCAGACTTTGCTAAATCAAGTGTCGCATTGTCACGATCAGTCAAAATTTGTTGTGGTAACGTTCTGGTAACGTTCTGCTCAGCAAGAACGTTACCAGTGTTGTTTTCTGGCGGGTCAATAAGAACGTTATCTGTGGGATCTGCTGGCGGCTCAATAAGAACGTTATCTGTTGAATCTGCTGGCAAGAAATCATGATTCATGAAGACGCGGTGATCCATTGGCTTTATCCCACATTTACGGAAACCATTGATTGCAATGGATTGTTGTGTTGCCTCGCTGTAGGCATCTCCAAAGAGTTTGCTGAATTGGAATACAGTCAATGCTCTTCCTGGGTTATTGCGAAGATATTTCTCAACTACGCGGATGTAATATTTATTCACAGGACCCATAAAAGACCCGTCTAATGGTTGTAACCTATGACTACAGTGTGGAGACAGACACAGGACAGTTGTGTGGTTTATTCGTGCCATTTCAATGAAATCTAAATTTTTGGTATGAGAATTATGTCCATCCAAAATTAGCAGTGCTGGATCCTCCCCCGTGGGCTTGGCAAATTTAAGGAAATGTTCAAACCATACTGTAGAAATTTCTAACTGCATCCACCCCGAAGAATGACATGCAAAACCAGTCCCTGGCGGTGCTCCATCCTGAAATTCAACTCTCATTCTCTTTTCTCTCAACCAATGAATTATTTCTATATGTCGTTGACAAATAGCTCTTATTGGTTCGTCCGGAAACAGAAGGTGGCCACTTTACCTGCCTGGGCCACTTTATCCATCCTTCCCCTACTACGAGTACGTGATTGTTCAAAAAATAAGGTGAATATTCAAATTTCGCGGGTTACGTAAATTCGATTAGCGTTTTTTATGTTTTTATACTCGTCTTGCACATATGTTTACAGTTTCCTTCACATTCTCAACATTTTCATCGGTTGTCGATGTGCTGGAGGCAGCAAGAGTCGTGAAGTAACAATGTTCGCTCTTTTTGATGATGGTTCTACGTGTACGATGATTAAATATGAGCTAGCTGAACAACTTAAGCTACCAGGCCCGGTAGTTTCACTTTGTTTTCAATGGACCAATAATATAAGCCATTATGAAGATGACTTTAGGTTGGTCTCAGCTGAAATATCAGGAGCATAACAGGAAAATTAATGGCATAACCAATAACGCATCAGACAAAATATCTCATGCAAGTCTTTGCTGTCGTTTAATTAGTGATAAAGAACTCCATTTGTTAGTAAAAGATATTTTTCGACTGGATTCATTTGGAGTTGAGCCATCAGATCTCATCATTAAATCAGCAGAGGACAAAAAAGTCATTGAAATCATGGAAAAAACCACTGAAAAGAACCGGACAGAAATACAAGATAGGACATCTCTGGAAAAATTAAGACATATCACTTTCGGATAGCCGTCCCAATGCAATAAAACGTTTGTTGTGCATGGAACGAAAGATGGATAAAGATAAAAAATTTCCCTCTGAATACTGCAAGAAAATAGAAGAATATCTAACAAAGGGATATGCTAGAAAACTAACTCCTGAACAAGTTGAATCACCTAAACTTTGATATATTTCTCATTTTGCAGTATGAAATGTGAATAAACCAGGAAAACTAAGGCTTGTTTTTGATGCGTCTGCAAAAACGACTTTTTGCTTTAAGGTCCGGACTTTGTTCCTTCATTAATCTCTGTATTGAGGCGCTTCAGCCAAGGTAAGATAGCTTTTAGCGGAGATATTTCTGAAATGTTCGATCAGGTATTAATTAGACAGGAAGATCAATGTGCACAACGTTTTTTGTGGCGTGGAAAGGACAGGAATCAAAATCCTGATATATTCCAAATGAACGTGATGATTTTTGGAGCTATTTCATCCCATTCTATGGCATAATCTGTGAAAAATAGAAATGCTACTGAATTTGAACAGCAGTTTCCAGGTATAATGAGATGTATGGAGAAACAACATTATGATTACCTAGATTCCTGTTGTACCAAAAAAGAAGCCATCAAGCGAATTGCAGATGCGATTCATGTTCATAAGCAAGGGGGTTTTAATATGACAAAATTGATCAGTAACTAACTCCAAAGATGTGATGAAAAGCTTTCCTGAAAGAATACGTTCTTCTACAGCTCATGGATTGAAAATAGATTCAGACAATATAGAAAGAGTACTCGGACTTTCTCTGAACCCGAAGAAAATACCACCTGAAATCATTTGTGGTGAAAAAATTACAACAAAGAGAGAGGTTCTTCGACTGTTAATGTCCATTTTTGATCCTCTTGGCTTCCTCGCTCCGCTTATAATAAAAGAAAAAATTGTAATGCAAGAAATATGGAGAATTGGCATTGACTGGGACAGTAAAGTATCTGACACTCTATTTTTGGCGTGGAACAAGTGGCTGATGGAAATTCATAAGTTTTATCGCCCATTATTCTACCAAGACACTATTTTCCGAATTCAAGTTGTATAAAAAAAGTTGATCTGCATATTTTCTGCGATGCTAGCGATAAAGCTTATGCCTCAGTAGCTTATATTTGAGATATGAAGAAGGAGAAATCATATCACATCATTTGTCTCTGCAAAATTCAAAGTAGCCCCATTAAATCAGCAAACCGTTCCCAAGTTAGAATTACAAGGGGCAGTTTTGGGCTGTTAGCTAGGTAAAACGATTCGTAATGAGCTTGAGTACAAAATAAGAAACGTTCATTACTGGACAGATTCTACAGTTGTTTCGAAACATATAAGATCAAAGTCTAGGCGATTTCCAATTTTTGTGACTTGCAGAGTAGAAGAGATACGAGAAGAAACTGATATTTGACAATGACACTGAGTTCCATCCGATTTGAATGTTGCATATCAAGCCACAAAAGAACTGGCCAACATTGACTTCAGAATAGAGAGTACATGGTTGAATGGTCCAGTTTTTTAAAATTTCCTGAGAAATCCTGGCCAAAAGAAAGAGAAGACATATTAAGTGAAGAACGTGAAAGTATACTTGCAAT